GGACTTACATAAAGGCATTTACCCGACCGATGCATACGGGGCCACATATATCCCGACTGTACAGAAGCCTTCAGGTTTGCACCACTTTCTCATTCGCCACATAACCACTAATACACCAAACATTGCATGGCTTTAAACCACTGCTTTGCATGAGATTTATACGTAAATCGTTGCGATTATATCGTCGATAAGTCTTTGTTGACATTTTGGTTGGAAATCACTTGTCTTTTGAGAACCAGTGTTTGGGATTCCCTTCCCCTCCTATTTATACGAAAAAAGTCCCAAATTTTATTTGTCTCATTTAAATTACAATAGAGTAGTGATTATAATGTTAGGGATAATTAAATTTTTTATAAGCGAGTTGTTTAGACTAAATTGTTCAAGTATTACAAATTTGTGCTATTATTTGCAAGTTTTCAACTAAAATAGATCAAATTAGGTAAATAAATCAGATTATCTATTTCATTGTAAATTAAGTTGAGATGATTATAAATTTATACTGAAAATTTGCAATTTTATCAAAATTGAAGCATGCAATATTTAGCTACTATATGAAATCAAACGCATTTACATAGAAACATAGCTTTTTAAAAATGTCTTTATATTTAAATATTAAAAGAGTTTTTATTATAACAAAAATAAGTCTCTTTAATGAATAATCTCTGTCTATGAAAGATAGAGAAAATATTTTAACTAAAAGAAAGTGCAGGAAAGGGATAGAAAAGTGGGAAGGAGTAGATGAAAAAAGTTAATAAGATTTTGATAAAGTTGCCAACAATGCAAGTGTTGGGGCCATAAATATGCAGTGATGCACAAAATTGCCTTAATTGAATCGCTCAAAAAACGTATGCACTCTGTGTTTAAGCCGGGCTTTTAGTTCGTCTTTTATTTTTTAAGAGTCCTTTCCCTCTATTGTATATCACTTTAAGGGAATCTCTCGGAGAAAAGCATTTTTTTCACAGTTGGAGAAAAGAGTTCGCTGTAACACACAGTGTATGTACAGTATGTGTGTATATACGGAATATTGTAGTCTCTCTATGAGTGTATATTCAGTTAAGTTTAGTTATGCATGAGTTGGCCATAAGAGTAAAGGACTGACATTCAAGTGAATGAATAGCAGAATAGAGAGAAGAATTGCAGAGAAATTAGTTCTTCCTTTAGTTCTTCCTTTTTCTCACATTTTCGGCTATTTTTTCGCTCTAAAGAACTGCTTATAAATACCTTAAGAATTAGGAGTTGTTGTTATGAGAGTTTCCACTTTATTAAGCATGCATTTTCATAGGAGTATTTGTGCTCAATATCCGTACTACGGGTGCTGTGTTAGCGCTGGTATTTCGGTAATGAAATACAAGATGACAATTATGTTGAGTCGGTTTCCCCCAGCTTTTAGTCGGTATTGCATGGGCTCTCATACAGGGGCCACACATCGCATGTATATATATATATAGTGCATGAATTGCATGCGAGGAACGGCTGCTTTGGGTGACCATTGGCTGCATTGTCGCCACATATGATCCCCACAACACACCACAATGCCTGCCATAATAGGTCCCACTGATGTGAACACATCATCACCGGCCACCACCCCTGTAGGACCCAAACCAGGAGTGCCTCGAAATGTGTCGATGGAGAAGATGGCTCAGGGATGGGTCATATCGTGGTTACCGCCGCTCAACACATCCGTTGTGGTCGCCTACTATCGGATCGAGTTTAAGGAAGAGGACAATCGGTGGCAATACAGCGAACCCATCGCCAAAGACACCGCATATTTAGGTATAAAAATTTCGCAACTGATAGGCTGTACAGTACTCTCACATACCTGTTCACTAAATACATGCTAATTGTTTTAATAGTAAAAAATTTGGAGGTGGGAACCAAATACACATTCAGAGTGTGGGCGTACTCTATATTAGGCAACGGGGAAGTGAGCGAACCATTAGAGTACAGAATACCTGGTATTCATTACTTTCACTTTAATTATATTTATGAGACATTATAACATACGCCAAGAATGTACTGTCAATTATCACCCCATTGTTCAGGAGCTGGTGATGGCATAAAGGGCGCCCGAGCTATCACTGCCGGAATCGTAGGGTCGGTCCTATTTTTCGTGACGGCAATAGTTCTGTCCGTTTGTATCGTTAAGATCTGTAATAAAAGGAAACGAAGACAAATGGAAAAGGGTTTGAATTATTTGTTTGATTATATTTATTATAAGTTAAACTAATTTAATAATTTATTCCTTTGATCAGCTTATATGATGGTTACCTGTCCTGTCATGGATGGCATGAATGGTGGTCACCATTCACACGGTGATAGTCCAGTGCCTTTAAAACAGTATGTATTTGAGCTGAACATCGGATAATAGGAACACCACACAACAAAATTCATATGAATCTCAGTATTTTTGGGCTATATTTCTGACATCTATATAAATAAAAACTTTTTTTCCTATTATTAACACGTAATGAAAAAATTATATCTCATTTCTGTCTTTCATTTGTCTCTTTACTTGTGCTTCAATTGGCTTCCATTTCATCCACGAAGTAAATTAGGAGGTGATTGATGTGATCGATGGCAACAAACCAATAGTTGCCACCACTTTGCATGCAATTCCCTCATTAATGAACTAAACATCCCTTTAGTCTTTAGGCCTCCCTTTCACTACTGATTCCTAACTCTATTTCTTTTCCATCTTTTCTCTCCACTTATATCTCTCTCTTATCTTCACTGCTCTGTCGTTGGCTCTGGTGTTTGGGATCTCTCTGTGGTTTTGTGTTGTCTTTCATCACTACAAACCACAGCACAGGACGATATTATATGTAGTTTAGGTACTCCGGGAAGCCTTCTCGGTAAGAGTCGTTTTCATCTCAATCTATATGTGTTGATCTGATTTGCATGTTATTAGCCATCAATTGTGGGTTCGTTTCGCTCGCACTCTTCACTCAATTCACTCGATATTCAGTAGTTCTCTATTGAGTCAAACATTTAGTTATTAAATGTTTTCATTAAAACTTCATTCACTTTAATGTTTGCCTACAGTCTAACCCCAAATAATTTAGTTGACAATTGAGATCTGCCTTTAAATTAATATAGTGTTAGATTTTAGTCATCAAAAAGTAATTTATTTTTAATGAATGAAATAAGAATTAGAAAAATTGATAGTTTAAGAAATTTTAGATTAGATTACTCACCCTGGTATAAATGGCCATAATATTTGTCTTGTGTTTCAATATAACACACAATTTACTAACTATTCACTGCACCTCTTATTAACCAAAAACTAACTGAATTTCCTCAAAAATACAAACCAAACCAAACATTAATACAATGAAATCATTCAAATTGTGTCGAAACGATACGATTAGAGTCGATGTAGAGATGGGGAAGGCCTATGAAAAGTGTTGACAATGATATGATTGAATTGTTACAGACGTGCGAAAAGCGGAATATCAGGTTTAATAGAGTTTCTGATTAGAAGTGTTTCCGTTCCGCAAAGATTCCGTTCACAACACCTTCAACGACGATCAGCTGAGCCCAGACATGTGGCCGGACGTGATAGTACACCCGTTGGAGTTCAGTCAATTGAAGCGCTTGGAGCCCATTGGAGAGATGACCCACACCTCCAGGTTTCACCCCCTGCGCGACGAAGAGCTATGAAGAACGTCAGGTATAACGTAGAGATGGAGTACTCCCGACCCCTCGGATGGATCAGTAGGACGTCCGACGGAAAGTTCGTAGTCAAGGGTCAGCCGGTGTTCGGCAAACCCATGGGATATAGCATTGATGAGCAGATCCACGCGTACGACTTGACGCCGTCCAATCAGCCCTCTGTCAGAGGCAGCTTCCGCAGTGATGGCAGCGGCCAGAGTGGACCCACTCATCAAATCCAGTTCCCATCGCACAGACACCACTCGCACATCAATCGCTCGGCAACTCATTCCTCACTACCGATGCGATCGCATCGCAACCAATCATTTAGTCCGCAGTCGTATTCCTTCCGCTCCGGACATAACATCTCATCCGTCTTCAGACCACGTGATAGTCGGTTCCGCACGAGTTCTCCCGGACCGGGACTTCCGCCCGATTCGCTTACTATGGATCAGGAGCTCAGTTCTGTCCGACAGACCACCTCATCCTTCGAGCGCTCCTCACAAATGCCAATCATATCATCGGCTTCTCTGCGGTCACACCTCCAAGAACTGCCGGCTTTGAGGCCCATTCACGAGCACCTGTATCGACACAATCATCCGACGTCTCAGTTGAGGGCAACAGTTCCTATCGCACGTCAGCCCAACTTTCGTCCCATAAATCGCGGACCACTTCTGTTGGAAACGGTTCCCGAAGCCATCTATGATGCGGTCCATATGTCACCCATGTATGGCTCCCCTTCCGTTCAGACAGCCTTTGATTCTGGCGTTTGGGGTGACGGCAGACACATACACATCGCCCCTCCTATTCGTCAAAATAATAATCAATTACTTCGAGGTTTGGTTTAAAACTAAATTCTTTTAAAATTCATTTTCTAAAACATAGCATTATTTCCCCGACAGGTGTGCCGACCATATCTGCCCGGGCGATGTCCAGACCATATCAAAACGTCCCGTTCCCGCGGCATCTAATGGGAGATCCAGTGCCTCAAAACCAGTTGTATAAACAAAAGCCGCACAAAGAGTTCAAATTAGCTGTCGATGACCCGGAGGATGAGTTCCGATTCATTGCACCGCCAAAGATGGTGTTCAAAAAGCCCAGAGCAGCGCCTCCACCACCGCCCTCACCAATGGGTGGACCAGACATTAGGGACCCGAAGAGCAAATTAGACACAACGGGAAGCAGTGACTCGTCTAACGATCAGCCCTTCTCTTATACCAGAGACCGACTGTTAGGTGCCGTCGAGAAAGTGAGGAGTGGTATGCTATTAGCCCGCGCCTCCCCCTATAGACACGAAGGTATATCCGCACCAATGGTTTACTTAAAAAACGTTTTCTAATTGTTTGTATCCCTTAATAGACTTCCAAACTCCCACTCCATTACAAACGCCGGTCGATAAGGCATTACTGGAGGCACCGGAACTGCGCCAAAGAAGGCCGACTCCTGTCAGGTTTGCTGACGATAATGAAGTGTTTGTGGACGACAACCACAATCAGATGAGATACCGGGCGCCACACCCTCCGAGTCGGGCCTCTATGACGAGTATGTCGTCGGGCAGAGGCAGCTCTGGTCACGACGGGTCAGGAAAGACCACTTCATTGTCTCACTCTCGGGGCGACTCTTTCCAGAACTCTCCGCAAAGCGAACTCCAGTCGACCTCTAATATCATCGACAAGACGACGAGCAGTAGCTCTGGTATTGTGAGTCAGACGCTGTCGTCAAACCTCCATTCCTCCACATCTCCGGGTCAGAGCTCAGGCATCTCAGCCTCGTCTGCATCGGCCACACCTCATAAGCGCCACAAAGAAGTGCAATCAAAGAAGTCATTCCCCAAATCCAGTTACCAGGGCATCGAATCGCCACAATCGGAGCCCATATTCCCCTCATATGCGCCGCCAATGGAACCGTTGGACGTGTCGGTCGACGAGAACTACGAATTCGACTCCATTTCCCCTCTCGAGGCCGAACTCATCGAAAAGTTACGGCGAGAACAGCAACGATGGCGTCAATGGCAACAACACCAGAGAGTACAACAGCCGCCACAACACTATCCATACCCACAAGAGACCCAAAAGACACCGTTTAGCGACTCTGAAGTGTACGGAACCGTTCCCTCCAGACGTCGACATGAAGACACCGACGCCCGATGTGCTGCTCTTAAGGAAGAGTTCTTCCGATTCAGACGAAGACAGGAATTCCTTCGACAACAACAACATCGGACACAACGCGAGGATCAGAGCTCTTCGGATGAGTTCGAGAGCGCCTGTTAGTGTCTATAGGGGGAGGCGCGGGCTAATAGCATACCACTCCTCACTTTCTCGACGGCACCTAACAGTCGGTCTCTGGTATAAGAGAAGGGCTGATCGTTAGACGAGTCACT